CACTCTCTACCTTAAAGCTCACTCCTTCCTCAAAGAATTAAGGAAAGTTGGTGCCACAGATTTTGTGGCACAACCATTTAAGTTGTTGAAACCATTTAAGTAAGTTGAAAGTGGAAACACCCTGAGCTAAAATGTTTGTGTCTCTTTTTTCTTTTTTCTCTATTCCAAATTTGATTTGCATTGTCCCTTACATAGAAGTCTTATTTTTCTTTTTTCCTAATCACCTTTATCAACTACTAGCACCAGTTTGGGTGTTATTTGAATGTATGACCCTAAATAGTTGTCAAAAGTCTAAAGTCTAATTCTCTATTTTAGCTTCTGTTTTTCAGAGCTTATGATTTTTCTGTTGCTCCAATTTTTTTTTATTTCTTGGTTTCCTTCCTTGGCTATTTTAAGGGGAATCACTTGCACGACAAATGAGAAAGAAGAGAACTGTTCCTCTGTTTCTGTGCCTGACTCCCAGTTTATCATCTCATTTCTTATATGAAAAAGATCTGCAAAAAATAATCATGTTCAAAACCTTGTGTTTTCCCTTTAGTCTGGTAGAGTGAGTTTTCCTATACACTCTTGGAAGGAGACCTCAGAACCCCCTGCAGCTCTTCTTTTCTGAGGCAGCTTGGATACTTTGATATCCGTTCAGACATTTTTAGAGAGACTAAAAAAAGTCCAGCTTACTTACAAACAGCTTCAGAAATTTACAGTGACCAGGCTCTTACATCAGAACATCAAAATAACCTGGCTTTGTCACATTTCAAAAATGTTACAATCTAATATACATTTTTCCAAATATATGTGCTTTTATAATATTTATTTAATAAATGATACCCCATTTTTATTGTCTGTTTTAGGTGCTAGGTTTATCTGCGTTTTCCAAAATAAAATGAAAGCAAATATCCCAAGCTAGTATACCATAAAACAATAACAACAACAAGGGTTGGGAGGTTGGGGAAGGAAGAGATATATGATGGGTAGAGTGCTTGACTCATGATTGTTAGACCTTCCAGTGATATAGAGAAGTCTGATTTTTGTTTTAGTCAAATTTTATTCCTTTTTGGAACCTGCTAAAATACATCGGCAAAGTAATCTATAACTTTGTTAGTCTGTCCATCCATTGTAATAGAGTTTGAAACAAAACACGTACAAAAGCAAGTCCTTTGTTGAGTTGCTTCTATTTACAAAAGGGACATTTAAAATATTGTCTTTGAGTGATTCTTCTATAGGATTTTGGAAAACCAGCATCTCACCACATGGGGGATAATTCACTGCTTTCTACATAAATATACTTCAAGAAGAGAATCTAGTTTTAGAACAGCAAAAAGACGCTTAAAACAGACAAGATCTAATGGAGGCTATATTTTGTTTGGTCATGTTTTACTTAAACAGTACTTTGTTGAGGAAGGATTCTACAAGAGAGGACAAAGAAATGAAGTAGTAGTCACAGAACCCCTGACGGGCAGTTACTTTAGATGTACCCTTGAGCCTTGCGTTAACCAACAATACCCTATTAAAGTAGAGCTTCTTTGGGTAATCTTACTGGTTTTAAGTCCAAGATGGATTAGTATTATGTACTTTAGAGTAGGTCACATAAAGATACACTTCCAGGATGTTTCTGACTATGAGGAAAAAAATGAGTTTAAAATAACCTATGAAAGAAAATGAGTTTTAAATAACCTTTCTTAAGTAGTTGCATGTATGCATATAAAGAGAGCTTTCTTTTTATAGTGTTAAAATTTAGTCTTATATAGATGTAACTCAGAACAGTTTCGCCTTGAAGTACCATACTGGGCTTCTAAATTTGATATTACATTTAGAAATAAGAGGCAAGAGATATGTTAGTTTAGAAGCTAAAACACTTTTAACAAGTATTTTTATTTTATGTAGGCTTTTTACATCATTCTTTTTATTATTTTCCTCTTAGGCTGAAAACCTTCTCCTTGATGGTGATATGAATATTAAAATTGCTGACTTTGGTTTTAGTAATGAATTTACAGTTGGGAACAAATTGGACACATTTTGTGGAAGCCCACCCTATGCTGCTCCTGAGCTTTTCCAAGGAAAGAAGTATGACGGGCCCGAAGTGGATGTGTGGAGTCTGGGCGTCATTCTCTATACATTAGTCAGTGGCTCCTTGCCTTTCGATGGCCAGAATTTAAAGGTATCAGCTAAATTTGATATTAATGTTTTATCCTTAAGTATGATCATTTCAAAAACCAGTTGTAAGTGCTTTCTTTCACTTTTATTAAGGAACTTCGGGAGCGAGTTTTACGAGGGAAGTACCGTATTCCCTTCTATATGTCCACAGACTGTGAAAATCTTCTAAAGAAATTATTAGTGCTGAATCCAATAAAAAGAGGCAGCTTGGAAGTAAGTAAATTTTTGTATTCCAAATTTAAATTTTAACAACTAAAATATTCAGGAACCGAAGAGCATTTTTCTTAGGAAAATTGCAAATTATTAAAATCTGCCTTTTGTTTAGAGATAGGGAAAATGACGTGACTTTTTTCACTATTTAAAAGTTGCCACAGTGGCTATCTCTAAAAACTATTGTCTTTTCTTTGTTCTGTAGTGCAGTATTAAATTAAAACAACACAAAAATAGAGATAAAATTGAATTTTAGTTAGAGAAGGAGGAAAACCTACCCTCTGTCAGAAATTGCTTTGTTCAAAACAGAAACCTTATTTTTAGTTAAGTATTCAATAAATATTTCAAGAATAAAAGAAAATAGTGAGAAATCTAATCTAGTGAATATTTCACAACTGTATCTGAAATTGGTATCTAGCATTTAAAAATGTAATAGAAACCTCTCAACTTTAGTAAAGAAATGTACAAATATTTAAGTAGAACATATTGGAAACAGGCATTTAATTTCTTAACACATTGTATTACCTACATACATTCCATATGTGAGGTTATTTATAATTATAGACACTATCATAAATGTACTAAGTATGTTACAGCCAAATAATACCAGAGGTTCACATAACCAAAATGTCTACTGTTTTTTATTTCTTCTGGCACTGCAATTAGAATAATTTATTTCTTAAGTATTTTGCTCATCTGTTTTTAAGAATGATATTTTAGCCTTTACTAAGATATTTTCAGAGATTCAGCATGCATTATTCACTAGTACTTTTTGTCTTCTTTTATTTGCCTTAGTAGAAGGGGAAGAAAATTCAGAGAATTAACCTCATATAAACTGTACTTTTTTAGTGTAGCAGTGGGGCTTTCTGGCACGGACTTCATGCTGTTTAGGAGGCAGCCTTAGAGTGAGCCATCCCTGTGTACAGAGCTCTCAGGTTAGTGTGGGCTTTGTAATTTTATTTCCACAAATATTTTTCAGTAGAATATACAGCATGTTTTGATGGAAGTTAAGGGATGGTGACTTCCATTGGGAAATTATTTTAAATGCTTTACATCAGTTAATCAATTATCAGGATTTTTTTTACTGAGTTATCTGTTTAAATGTGATTAGTTATATCTTATGAGTTTTGTGGGCTTTTCCCCCCTTTGGGGTTAAAAACATATGATAATAATGCTTTAATAGAGAACAGGTACTATATAAAGCCCACTTTTATATCACTTCTTTTGAAACCTTTCCATCATTATTCATAGAAAAATTAGGTGAAATATTTAAAAAGCTAAAATTGTTGACTCACATCAGTTCTAAAATAGTTTTAAAGCTTTTGAGAACATGTCTTGTAATCCTGCTTTGTGACTTTTATCATAAGAACCCCACTTACCTGAGTGTCATTTAATAAAATGCTGAGTTGAAGCAGCAGCTTAGCTAATGAGCAGAGCAAATAGAATATACAAAAATTATTTTGGGAGAATAGATATTACAAATCTCTATGGACAGTCGATAAGATATGCTTATGTCTTAAAGATGATTAATTTATAGTAGCCAAACACTTTAGTCTTTCATCATTAGTATTAAAATATTGAGGATCAAAATATTAGAATGCTTTGAGTTGGCTTTAAAAGCCAGATTATTACTAAAATATTTGATCATCAGAATCTCATTCTAATTTATTTCAGTATAGTCTGCAATTTCCTGTTCCAGCTTACTAAAACAAAGTTTTTAAGCTATGAAACCATGAGTTCACATTGGAAATATTATTATAATATTATAGATATTACTATACACAGGCTGGTTTGCTTCATAGTTTCCAGAAACGACTTTCCAGGGAAACTTGACACCATTTTTTTAAAAAGAAGTATCTCTTATACCATACCTTAAGAAACTCTCCTGGTAATATTCGTGACTTCAAAAATTATTAGTCTTCGTTTTTATTTTTCATACCAATTTTAGTAGCTTTATTGTAAAAAATCTGTAAACTTTTTTTAAAAAGCTATTTTCAAAACACTTACCTTCATTATGTAAGCATAACATTTTATGCATTAGTAATGTTTTATATCATGTTACTTTTTTTTTTAACCTTAAAAGCTTTTGATACACACTTCTTGCTTTGTCATAAGAATGTACTCCTTCCTTTTTAATAGCTATGTTATTCTCCTTGGGTTATATATAATAATGTATTTCCCTGCTTGTTGCACATCTGAGTTGTTTCCATTGTTTTTGATAAAAATAATGTGGTTTACTTTTCTCCCCTTTGGGATAAATGCTTAGATAAATTCTTCAGAGTGAAATTACTGGGTCAAGGGGCATAAGTGATCTGATAGCTCTTTTATCATTGCCAAAAGATGTGTGTGACCCAAGGCTTTTGACTGTACCTGTTCTCCATAGCTTGATTCAATATTGGATATAAATTGTAGTATTTGATGCCTTGCTTTTATTTGTATTTATTTTATTAGTAATAAAATGAAATATTTTTAATGAACACTTTGTGCTTCTTCATGTATGCTCTCAGTGTCTTTTAACTACTTTTCTTAAGGAGTCTGGTTAATAAGCCTCATAAATTTGTACCAACTTTGTATATTTTAATATAAAATACTTTTTCTGGTAATTTACACATTTTAAAAAATGGGACATCATGAATAGAAATCTGTCACCCTTACAAAGCCAGTGCTGAGGAGAGATGATCAAGTACCACAGTGATGACTACAGTAACTTCTTGTGTTCCATCAGTCCAGATTACATGTTCGAGCACAGCAAGCAGATGCAGAGTCAACGTCGGTAAGGACTGTCCAGTATTCGATGGCTTGTTTGAATTCTGACAGTTGTCTACTGATGGCTCTGTGGCAAGGGCTGTGAAACTTAATAAGCAGCAGATGGACATCACTGTGAATTGGGCTGGGGGCTTGCACCATGCAAAGAAGTCCGAGGTATCTGGCTTCTGTTGTATCAGTGACATTGTCTTGGTCATCCTGGAGCTGCTGAAGTATCACCAGAGGGTGCTGTATATTGATATTGATATTCACCGTGGCGATGGCATGGAAGAGGCCTTCTATATCACAGACTGGGTCATGACTATGTATTTCCCTAAGTATGGAGAGAACTTTTCAGGAACTAGGGACCTACAGGATATTGGAGCTGGCAAAGGCAAGTATTACACTGTTAAATACCTGTTCCGAGATGGGATTGAAGACGAGTCCTATGAGGCCATTTTCAGGCTGGTTATGTTCAGAGTAATGGAGATGTTCCAGCCTAGTGCAGTGCTCTTACAGTGTGGCTCAGACTCCTTATCTGGGGATTGGTTAGGTTGCTTCAACCTGACCATCAAAGTGCATGCTGGCCTGTCACAGTGGCTCACGCCTGCTCCCAGCACTTTGGGAGGCTGAGACGGGAAGATCACTTGAGGCCAGGAGTTTGAGACCAGCCTGGCCAACACGGTGAAGCCCCGTGTCTACTAAAAATGCAAAAATTAGTGAGGCATGGTAGTGCACTCCTGTAATATCAGCTACTCGGGAGGTTGAGTCATGAGAGTTGCTTGTCCCCAAGAGGCAGAGTTTGCAGTGAGCTGAGATCATGCCACGACCCTTCAGCCTGGGCAATTGAGTGAGACTCCATCTCCCCAAAAAAAGGAGGGGGGCATGCCAAGTGTTTGGAATTTGTCAAGAGCTTTAACCTGCCTATTCCAATGCTGGGAGGAGGTGGTTACATCATTTGTAATGTTGCAGAGTGCTGGACATAGGAGACAGCTGTGGCCCTGGATGCAGAAATCCCTAATGAGTTTCCATACAGTAACTACTTGGAATGCTTTGGACCAGATTTCAAGCTCTACATCAGCCCTTCCAGTATGACTAGCCAGAACATGAATGAGTACCTGGACAAGATAAATAGTGACTGTCTGAGAACCTGAGAATGCTGCCCCACACACCTGTCTCCACATGCAGGTAATTCCAGAGGATGCCATCCCTTAAGAGAGGGGCGATGAGAGTGAAGAAGACCCTGACAAGCACATCTCAATCTGTTCCTCTGACAAATGAATTGCCTGTGAGGAAGAGTTCTCCGACTGATGAGGTGGGAGAAGGTGGCCACAAGAACTCTTTCAACTCCAAAAAAGCCAAGAGAATCAAAAGAGGATGAAAAAGAGAAATACCCAGATAAGAAGAACAAAGTCACAGAAGAGGAGAAAATCAAGGAGGAGAAGCCAGAAGCCAGAAGGGTCAAGAAACAGGTCCAGCTCTGGCTTCTTGCTGAGTTCCCTGCCTTTCTTCCCCAACATCTCAGATTTTATATTTTCTATTTCTCTGTGTATTTATAGGAAAATTTATTAAATATAAATATCCCAGGGACTAGACAGAAACCAAGGCCCTGAGCCCCGGGCAGCTCTGCTGGGTGAACTCTTCTAGGAGCTGCCTTGCCACCCATCCTTCCATCCTTCCCCATTTCTTAACTTTGAACCATAAAAAGTGCCAGGTCTTGGTGAAAGGGATACTTTTATGCAACCATAAGACAAAATCCTGAAATACCAAATATCTGCTTAGTAGCTTTGGAAAGGTGCCCTTATTGAACATTCTATAAAAGGTGGCGGGGTCTTCAAGGATCTCCTGTTCTTTTCAGGCTCCTAACATAACATCAGCCATTTTTAGATTGGCTCTGTTTTCATACCTTCCCAGTGGCCTCAGGTGAGCCAAAAAACTCACATGCCTGCCCTTTTTCTTCCCCTGATACTTCAGGCAGCGGTTGGTGGTCTAGTTTCCTTTTTGAGATACTATTTTCATTTTTGAGACTCTTTGTAATAAAATGGTACATTTTTATAAAAAAGTTAACTGTTTAGACCCTCTCTCACCACTGCCTGTCACAGTGGAAAGATGTGTTTTCCCTTGTTCGAGACTTCACTCACTCATCTGTTTATCTACCTTCCTTCTCAGTACCTCACCCCTTCAGTAAGGTTCTCTTTTCTGTAACCATCGAAACCTTGTCTCTATCCACTCCTTTTCCTCAGCTTTTATGCATACTTGAATGTCTTCCATTAAAAAAGGCATCCCTTCAACTTGGCAATCCCTTTTCAGTGCTGCTGTCTTGCTCCTCCTTTGTAGTGAGTTTTTTTGAACAGTATCTACACTTAAACCATCACCTGTTCCTCACCAATCCATTTACCTTTTGGTTCCTAATGTCACCACTCCACTGAAACTTTCCCCAGCAAAGTCCCCCATCTCTGTTGCTAAACACAAGGAGTTACTTTTTTAGCTATCACCTTGTTTGACCATTTGGCCATATTTGACAGTACAACACTTTCCCCTCTTCGAAGAACTCTTTCCTTGCCTTCCATGTCATGCTGTGCAGGTTTTCCTTTTTGGATTTCTTTTCTTTCTAACCTTTAAATGCTAGTGTTCCTTGAGGCTGCACTCTGAGCCCTTTTCCATTCATTCTTATGCTATTCATTCTTCCTGGAGAATCCCATCCACCCCCACAGCTTCTGTACAGCATCATCTGTAGGCTAAGGATTCCTGAGGCTCAATCCCTAGCCCAGATTTCTCTTGAGCCTCAGAATAAAGTAACAGTAACTATAGAACATGTCTGTTGAGATAGCACATAGTACCTCAAACTCAGCTTGTCTAAAACTGAGCTCCATTTTTCTTGATCCATTCTTCCCTCTCTGAGTTTGGTTTCTCAGTGAATGATACCAGCTTCTCTATTCAGTTGTCTAAATGAGAAATCTGGGCATTATCTTCCATTTCTTCTTTTTTTTATCTCTCCCCCTATATCCAGTAATGTAGATAGATATATGGATATCCATCCTTTGTAATCATGAATTGTGATTAAAAAGTTCCATAAAACTGTATAAATCATGAAGTTTTGCTCATTTTTACCAGCAAAATGTTGGACATGTCTTTTGTTTCCATATTGCCACTGTCTACCTTAAAATTGGGGTGTCATCATCTCTCTCCTTGATTTTAGCTAAAGCCTTTTAGTTGATTTCTGTGCTTCTAGTCTTGAACACCTCTAACCCACTCCCTCCATATGGGCTAGAGAGACTTTTCAAAATCATACCTGTGAAAGATAACCATTACATGCTGGTTTTGCCTGAGGGCTTCTTTACACCTGCGTTTTCTCTCCTGGTTATTTGCCTTCCTTCCACTTCTTTTTTGCATGATTGACCCATATTTATCCTACCTGAATCTAACTTTTTACTTACTTAGTATTCTACTATTTATTAATCTTACTCCACTTGTTATTATTTTCAACTTGTAATCTTAAATTTGAGAACATCAACAAGGACTTGGGGAACTTGAAGTATTTCTGTCTAGCTCATGTTTGTTATTTTTCTTCCTTGTCCATTCTCATTCATTATCATAACAACAAACATCCAAAGAGCTCCCATTAAAGAGTAATGTGTTCGCATGTTCTCGCTCATAGGTGGGTGTTGAACAATGCGAACACATGGACACAGAGGGGAGCATCACACACTGGGGTCTGTCGGGGAGAAATAGGGGAGAGACAGTGGGGGGTGGGGAGTTGGGGAGAGATAGCATGGGGAGAAATGCCACATATAGGTGATGGGGAGGAAGGCAGCAAATCACACTGCCATGTGTGTACCTATGCAACAATCTTGCATGTTTTTCACACGTACCCCAAAACCTAAAATGCAATTTAAAAAAAAAAGAGTAATGTGTTAATAAAAGGATAGTTAGATTCCTTTGTTTGTATTGATATGTGTGTGGAAGGGTAGGATTTGCTACGGATTTACTTTATATATACTTAAAGACTTTTAAGCATCAGCTGAGCTTCTGCTTCCATATGCTTTCCTTACTTCCTCTGCTTGTGCAGCTATAGAATTGAATGAGTAAAGATGTCAAGGAGTAGACTGGCTAGATTGGCACTTGATCGGTGTGGGAAGGATTTTATGTACTGTGTTAACTGTCCTTAAGTAGTTCGTTATGTTCTCTGAGAGCTTTTTGTGTTCACCTTCCAACCTAGGAAATTCTGCCAACAACAGAATTTTATTTCTACAGATGCTGGTGCCTGACTCTTGCTCAGGCTTCTGTCAGACATACTGTTTGAGAGGGGAGAGGTAAGGAACAGGAAAGGCCTTAATATTTTGAGGAATTGTGTGGCATCTATTGCTTTTCTGCTTTGCTAATTTGTTTTCCCTTCTGATGTTCACCCACCCCAACACTTTTCCTTTATTGACGAATAATCACTGAAGACATATGGTAGAATTATCATTTGTAGTAGGTCTAGTTTCATTTAAATTAGTTGGATAACAGGAGACCTTCCCCAGCCTAGCAAGACAGACCAAAATTCAAATTCAGGAAATACAGAGAATACCACAAAAATACTCCTCGATTTAACTTGAGGAGATAACTGCAAAATAAAATTAAAAAAAAAAAAAAACAAAAAACTTGAGAAGAGCAACCCCAAGACACATAATTGCCACACCAAGGTGAAACAAAGGAAAAAATGTTAAGGGCATTCACAGGGAAAGGTCAGGTTACTCACAAAGGGAACCCATCAGACTAATAGTGGATCTCTCTGCAGAAATCCTATAAGCCAGAAGAGAGTAGGGTCTGATATCAAACATTCTTAATGAAAGAGTTTCAATTCAAGCCAAGCTAAGCTTCATAAGCAAAGGAGAAATAAAATCCTTTACAGACAAGCAAATGCTGAGAGATTTTATCACCACCAGGCCTGCCTTATAAGAGCTCCTGAAGGAAGCACTAGATATAGAAAGGAAAAACCAGTACCAGCCACTAAAAAACATAACAAATTGTAAAGACCATCAACACTATGAAGAAACTGCATCAACTAATGGGCATAATAAACAGCTAGCTTCATAATGACAGAATGAGATTCACAAATAACAATATTAACCTTAAATGTAAATGGGCTAAATGCCCCAATTAAAAGACACCAACCAGCAAATTGGATAAAAAGTCAAGACCCATTGGTGTGCTGTATTCAGGAGACTCATCTCATGTGCAAAGGCACACATAGCCTCAAAATAAAGGGAAAGAGGAATATTTTCTGAGAAAATGGAAAGGAAAAAAAAGCAGGGTTTGCAATCCTAGTCTCTGATGAAACAGACTTTAAACCAACAAAGACAAAAAAGACAAAGGCGTTACATAATGGTAAAGGGATCAATGCAGCAAGAACTAACTATCCTAAATATATATGCACCCAATACAGGAGTACCCAGATTCATAAAGCAAGTTCTTAGAGACCTACCAAGAGACTTGTACTCCCACACAATAGTGGTGGGGGACTTTAACACCCCACTGTCACTATTAGATCAATGAGGTAGAAAATTAACAAGGATATTTGGTACTTGAACTCAGCTCTGGACCAAGCGGACCTAATAGACAGCTACAGAACTCTTCACCCCAAATCAACAGAATATACATTCTTTTCAGCACCACATCACACTTATTCTAAAATTGGCCACATAATTGGAAGTAAAACACTCCTTAGCAAATGCAAAAGAATGGAAATCATAACAAACAGTCTCTGAGACCACAGTGCAGTCACATTAGAACTCAGGATTAAGAAACTCACTCCAAACCACACAGCTACATGGAAACTGAACAACCTGCTCCTGAATGACTACTGGGTAAATAATGAAATGAAGGCAAAAATAAATAAGTGCTTTGAAATCAATGAGAACAAAGACACGACATACCAGAACCTCTGGGACATAGCTAAAGCAGTGTTTAGAGGAAATTTATAGCACTAAATGCCCATAGGAGAAAGCAGGAAAGATCTAAAATCAACACCCTAACATCACAATTGAAAGAACTAGAGAAGCAAGAGTAAACAAATTCAAAAGCTTGCAGAAGACAAGAAATAACTAAGATCAGAGCAGAACTGAAGGAGGTAGAGACACAAAAAACCCTTCAAAAAATTAGTGAATCCAGGAGCTGGTTTTTTGAAAAGATTAACAAAACAGATAGACCACTAGCCAGACTAATAAAGAAGAAAAGAGAGAAGAATCAAATAGATGCAATAAAAAATGATAAAGGGGGTATCACCACTGATCCCACAGAAATAGAAACTACTATCAGAGAATACCAAAAACACCTCTATGGAAATAAACTAGAAAATCTAGAAAAAAATGGATAAATTTCTGGACACACACACATTCCCAAGACTAAACCAGGAAGATGTCAAATCCCTGAATAGACCAATAACAAGTTCTGAAATTGAGGCAGCAATTAGTAGCCTTCCAACCAAAAAAAGCCTAGGACCAGATGGATTCACAGCCGAATTCTACCAGAGCTCCAAAGAGGAGCTGGTACCATTCCTTCTGAAACTTTTTCAAACATTAGCAAAAGGGAGACTCCTTCCTAACTCATTTTATGAGGCCAGCATCCTGATACTAAAACTTGGCAGAAGTTTTCAAAAAAAGAAAACTTCAGACCATTGTCCCTGGTGAACATTGATATGAAAATCCTTAATTAAATACTTGCAACTCAAATCCAGCAGCACATCTAAAAGCTTATCCACAACAATCAAATCTGCTTCATCCCTGGGATGATGCAAGGCTGGTTCACCATATGTAAATCTATAAATGTAATCCATCACATAAACAGAACCAATGACAAAAACCACATGATTATCTCAATAGGTGCGGAAAAGGACTTTGATATAAAATTAAACACCCCTTCATGCTAAAAAAAAAAAAAAAAAAAAAAAAAAAAAAACTTTCAATAAACTAGGTATTGATTGAACATATCTCAAAATAATAAGAGCTATTTATGGCAAACTCAGAGCCAATATTTTACTGAATGGACAAAAGCTGGAAGCATTCCTTTTGAAAACCAGCACAAGACAAGGATGTCTCTCTCACCACTCCTATTCAACATAGTTTTGGAAGTTCTAGCCAGGGCAATCAGGCAAGAGAAAAAATAAAGAGTATTCAAATAGGAAGAGAGGAAGTCAAATTGCTTCTGTTTGCAGATGACATGATTGTATATTTAGAAGACCCCATCATCTCAGCCCAAAATCTCCTTAAGATGATAAGCAACTTCAGCAAAATCTCAGGATACAAAATCAATGTGCAAAAATCACAAGCATTCATATATACCAATAAGAGATAAACAGAGAGCCAAATCATGAGTGAGCGCCCATTCACAAGTGCTACAAAGAGAATAAAATACCTGAGTACAACTAACAAGGGATGTGAAGGACCTCTTCAAGGAGAACTACAAACCATTGCTCAAGGAAATAAGAGAGGACACAGACAAATGGAAAAACATTCTGTGCTCATGGATAGGAAGAATCAATATTGTGAAAATGGTCATACTGCCCAAAGTAATTTATAGATTCAGTGCTATCCCCGTCAAGCTACCATTGACTTTCTTCACAGAAGTAGAAAAAGCTACTTTAAACTTAATATGGAACCAAGAAAGAGCCCATATAGCCGAGACAATCCAAAGCAGAAAGAACAAACCTGGAGGCATCATGCTGCCTGACTTCAAACTATGCTACACTGCTGTAGTAACCAAAACAGCATGGTACTGATACCAAAACAGGTATGTAGACCAATGGAACAGAACACAGGCCTCAAAAGTAACACCACACATCTACAACCATCCGATCTTTAACAAATCTGACAGAAACAAGCAATGGGGTAAGGATTCCCTATTTAATCAATGGTGTTGGGAAAAGTGGCTAGCCATATTGAGAAAACTGAAACTGGACTCCTTCCTTACACCTTATACAAAAACTAAGATGGATTAAAGACTTAAATGTAAGATCTAAAACCATAAAAACCCTAGAAGAAAACCTAGGCAGTACCATTGAGAACATAGGCATAGGCAAAGACTTCATGATTAAAACACGGAAAGCAATGGCAACAAAAGCCAAAATAGACAAATGGGATCTAATTAAACCAAAGAGCTTCTGCACATCAAAAGAAACTATTATCAGAGTGAACAAGCACCCCACAGAATGGGAGATTTTTGCAGCCTATCCATCTGACAAAGGGCTAATATCTAGAATCAACAAGTAACTTAAACAAATTTATAAGAAAAAAACAACCCCAGCAAAAAGTGGATGAAAGATAGGAACAGACACTTCTCAAAAGAAGACATATATGCAGCCAACAAACATATAATTGTATATATATAAAGCTCATCATCACTGGTCATTAGAGAAATGCAAATCAAAACCACAATGAGATACTATCTAATGCCAGTTAGAATGGAGATCATTATAAAGTCAGGAAACAACAGATACTGGAAAGGATGTGGAGAAATAGGAATGTTTTTACACTGTTGATGGGAGTGCAAATTAGTTCAACCATCATGGAAGACAATGTGGCGATTTCTCAAGAATCTGGAACCAGAAATACCATTTCACCCAGTAATCCCATTACTGGGTATGTACCCAAAGGATTATAAATCATTCTACTATAAAGACACATGCACACATATGTTTATTGTAGCACTGTTCACAATAG